AAATAAAGGTATAAATACCCAATGATCCAACAAAATTAAACCTATATATCCAAGAGGGACTCATGCACATATACACCAGGATACATACCTGAAAATATACATCTAGAAGCAACCCATATTGTATTCCATTAATAATAAAACAGATAAACAAATTTTAGAAATAATCTACAAATGCATTCAATAACTGGTAAGTCTTTAATATTGAATAAAAACAAGCCATAAAAAATACACACAGCATTTTTCTGGTGCATGTAAATTTCAAGAATAGGCAAAACTAAACTATATCATTTAAGTATACATAAATAATAAAGAAAGCAAGGAAATCTTTTTTTTTAAGTCAGGATAATGGTTACTTCAAGAAGTGACTAGCAGTTACACAGATGTTTGTTCTATAATGAGTTGTTAAACGGTATCTGTAAATTTCATGCACTTTTTAGTATATGTAATATTTGCAACAAAAATGAGGGGGGAAAAAAAGAGAGTAGAGTTGAGTGATAATCTATAAGGCAACCAAGCTAACATTATGAAAACTTAGGAGAGGTAAAAGCAAAACAGAAATCACCACAATGTAAAGAGAACAAACTCAATACCATAGAAAAAGAAGAACCATTATTGAAAAAGAGAAAAAAAAATATAGTGTCTTTTATGTCATTCAGAAACAGAGATGATTTTTTAAAAATCAACAATAAATAAATTTTGGTTTGGTCACAAATGACAACAATTTTTCTTTGGTTCAACTTCAAAATTCTAACTTTTACAAATCTCTTTTAGAGGTAAAATACACACAACATAAATGAAGTCAAAGGACAAACAACTCCTGTGAAGAGGAAATATTTAAGCTGAGATCTGAGGGATAAGTAGAAATTCACCCAGCGGAGAGTGTTCCAGGCTGAGGGAACAGCAAATGAGAAGGTGCAGAGGTGCAAAAGGCCCTGACCCTTGCCAAAAACTGAAAGGAGACCAGCCTGGCAGAAGTGCAATGCCGACCTTCATCTGGAGAAGGCTGCCTGAAGAGGAATGGTGGAAGAAAACCAATTCTGTTGATTGTGAAGATTTTCTCCCATTCTGTGGATTGTCTCTTTACTCAGCTGACTGTTCCCTTTGCTGTATGGAAGTTCTTTAGTTTAATTAAGTCCTACCTATTTACCTTTGTTTTTGATGATTTTCAAAAGAAAATATACAAATGGACAAAAAAACATATGAAAAAATGCTTAACATCACTAATGATCATGGAAATGCAAACCAAAACCACAATGCCATACCATCTTACTCCCTCAAGAATAATTGAAAACTCAAAAATAATAGACGTTGGCGTGGATGTGATGAAAAGGGAACACTTCTACACTGCTGGTGGGAATATAAACTAGTACAATCACTATGGAAAACAGTGTAAAGATTCCTTAAAGAACTAAAAGTAGAACTACCATTTGATCCAACAATCCCACTATTGGGTATCTACCCAGAGGAAAAGAAGTCATTATATGAAAAAGATAGTTGCACATGCATGTTTATAGCAGCACAATTCACAAATGCAAAAATATAGAACTAGTCCAAATGCCCATCAATCAATGAGTGGAAAAAGAAACTGTGAGATACACACACACATATATATATACACACACACATATATATGATGGAATACTACTCCACCAAAAATAGGAATGAATTAATGCCATTCACAGCAACCTGGATGGGATTAGAGACTATTATTCTAAGTGAGGTAACTCAGGAATGGAAAACCAAACATCATATGTCCTCACTCATAAGTGGGAGCTAAGTCATGAGAATGCAAAGGCATAGGAATGATACAATGGACTTTGGGGACTTGGGGGGAAAAGGGCAGGAAGGGGGTGAGGGATAAAAGGCTACAAATTGGGTTTAGTGTATACTGCTCGGGTGATGGGTTCACCAAAATCTCACAAATCACCACTAAAGAACTTACTCATGTAACCAAACACCACCTGTTCCTCAAAAATTTCTATGGAAATAAAAATTTTAAAAATTTTTAATAAAAATAAATAAATACATAAAAGATTATTATTAAAGATTAAAAAAAAAAAAGAAATTCCAGAAACTTCCGTTTTGCTAAAATGTTACTGGTTGGGTCTCGATGTTATCACCTCTGATAACTGCCACCTCGTCCCCACGGAGAGTTTTAAGGTGAATAGGAAATTTGCGTTCATAGAGAAAAAAGTACAATGCTGGACACTAAATTAATTCTACCAAGATGTTTAATCTCTGATTTCTGTGTTGCCGTAAACTTCATACATAGTCAACTAGCACTGAAAAGAAGGAAGAAATTGAAACGAGACAAAGGACATAACAAATTCTTTCCCTTGACTCTGAGTTTAATGCTGAACAACTATAAAAGCTATTGGTAGGACTTGGGTGTTCCCAAACATGCAGGTCCTACGACTACTGGGAGAGTAAGTGGGTTCCGCCAGAACTTAAGTTATCCCTTTCCGACTGCAATGTCTATAGTATTTCCAATAATGTATTCAGGATTCAAGGCAATGCTTTTCCAAACGGGAGCAGACAGATTTTTGAGGTGTGATCTACTTATTCCCCTTACTGAAGAAAAAAATAAGCCCGACTCTTTATATTTACCTAAATTAATAAATTGTATTCTTATTGACAACGAGAATAATAGCTTTGAAGTAAATACACACACTGTGCTTTAAAAGTCCACTCTGTCTCCCTGCTTTATTTTCTACACAATACATACATTATTTCAGATATACATTCAAAAGGACAGCTATGTACTGGTACTTTTAAAGAAATTATGCATTTTTCTGGTGCCAGAACACTCAGATGGTCCATTTACCACTTCAGGGAACTTGCCAGTGTTTTTTAAGCAGTGAAAGTTTCATTTTCTCACTTTTTTTAAGATTCCTATTCTCTTTCATGATATTCACTAATACTATGAAATTATTCAGACATTTTAGAAGCCATTAAAAGTAGAGAAAATTTCTATTCTCTATAGAATGTAGATCTTATATTTGTTTTTAAACCAAACAGGTGTGTCGAAAAAGGAGGCACAGGGATTTACACTTCTACAGTAACACGGCCTTCAGTTCAAAGCAGGCACACCAATGTCTAATCACTTTGACCAGTCACTTTCACGTAGGAGGAAGTCACGGTCTGTGGGTTAACTGATTCATTAGTTAGTAAATGTAATAAGTTCAACTTGCCTCCTTTCTTTGAGCCCCAAAAGTTCAATGGAAATGAGAAAAATATAAAGAATCCAGAGACTCTTAGATAGTAGGAACACAATTATCCCATAAAAAATGTAGAATGTCATCTTTTGTAAAAATTATTTGCAAAGTAGTTGAAGATGCTTTTTCAGAACCCCAGATACTCTCTCAAGTTCATTTTATAAAATGTTTAACAAGGCTTCATCAAGAACTTACATAAAATATAAAATCTGGGAAATACCATTCTGGACATAGGCCCTGGCAAAGATTTCATGATGAAGCAAGCAATTGCAACAAAAACAAAAATTGACAAATGGGACCTAATTGAACTAAAGCACTTCTGCACAGCAAAAGAAACTATGAACACAGTAAACAGACAACCTGCAGAATGGGAGGAAATATTTACAAACTATGTATCCAAAAGAGGTATAGTATCCAGAATCTATGAAGAATTTCAGCAAACCAACAAACAAAAAGCTAGCAATCCCATTAAAAAATGGTCAATGATCGTGAAAAGACACTTCTCAAAAGAAGACATACACACAGCCAATGAGCATGTGGAAAAAAGGTCCACATAACTAATCATTAAAGAAATGCAAATCAAGACCACAATGAGATATTGTCTCACACCAATCAGAATGGCCATTGTTAAAAAGTCAAAAAGCAACAGGTGCTGGCAAGGTTGAGGAGAAAAGGGAACACTTATTCACTGCTGGTGGGAATGTATATTAGTTCAGCCAATGTTGAAGGGAGTTTGGAGATTTTTCAAAGAACTGAAAACAGAACTACCATTCAACCCAACAATCCCATTACTGGGTATATACCTAAAGAAATAGAAATCATTCCAACATAAACATATCTGCACACATATGTTCACTGCTGCACTATTCACAATAGCAAAGATGTGGAATCAACCTAAATGTCCATTAGTGGTGGACTGGATAAAGAAAATGTGGCATATATACACCATGGAATACCACACAGCCATTAAAAAGAATGAGATCATGTTCTTTGCAATAGCATGGATGGAACTGAAGGCCGTTATCCTAAGTGAATTAACACATGAACAGAAAACCAAATACCACATGTTCTCACTTATGGGAGTTAAACATTGAATACACATGGATATGAAGAGAACAATAGACACTTGAGAGTGGAAGGTGGGAGGAGGATGAGAATTGAAAAACTACCTATCGAGCACTATGCTTATTACCTGGGTGATGAAATAATCTGTACATCAAATCCCCAAAACACACAATTTACCCATGTAACTAACAAATCTGCACATGTACCCCCAATCCAAAATAAGTTAGAAAGAAATAATAAAAATGAAATATATATGTGTGATTGATTCATGTCTACTTATGAATGTATCCACACCTAGATTTCTAGAAATACATATAAAACACAACAGTTTCAAAAGATTATAGGAAAACAGGAAGATATTTATGCTTCAGAAAACAAGATTTAATAAACATCTATTTGGCAACTATTGTTTTTCAGTCATAGTCTGGCTAGTAAGGACACTACACTGAGTAAGTCAGACATAATACCTGCCTTCATAGAGCAAGAAGCAGATAATGAAAAGTATAAAGAGAGTAACAGGGATGAGAAGGGCTAAAAATGTGCCAGGGACAAGATAGGAAAGGCAGAACAACTTTTCTTGTTTTCAATAACATTGTGTTTCATAAAAATGACAGCAAGAATTATAATCATAAATTAGAAATTCATTATAAAAGTAGTTGAGATCTCATAAGTGGTTGGTGCTTTAAAAAGTGGTAAAATGGAAGCTAAGATTTACCTTACTGCATAATCCTTGAATCCCTCATGGTCATTGTTGCTGAAAAGGAAAACAAGAAAAGAACAGTAATGAGATGAAGGAATGGATGGCTAATTGCTTGAACTGATTGATTGGTTGATCTTGTCAAGGTGGAGTGAACTACACAAATGGTATGAAAAACCTTTTGAGTATCTAGTTACCAACTAAAAATAATTACCTCATCCTGGGTCAGCATTTGATTGGGTTCCAACTGGATGCCAATTTAACTATTCTAAGTCTCATCATACAACATCCTGCCAACAAATATTTAGAGATCATCTCTAGATGCTATTCATACTTATACCAAGGCTTTAGTGCAAACATATTTCCCTTTTTTTCTTCTGTGGTCCTTTTACATATGTTGCTCCTTTACTAACATTTTGCTTTATCTAGGCATATCAACTTGTGAATAAATATATGTATATATTTTGTTTCCACAGTTTTAGGAAACAGGTGGTTTTTTGTTACATTGATACGTTCTTTAGTGGTGACGTCTGAGATTTTGGTGCACCCATCACCCAAGCAGTGTACGCCAGACCCAATGTGTAGTCTTTTATCCCTCACCCAACCCCCATCCTTCCCCCTAAATCCCCAGAGTCCATTATCTAATTCTTATGCCTTTGCATCCTCATAACTTAGCTGACACTTATAAGTAAGAAATACAATATTTGGTTTTCCATTCCTGGGTTACTTCACTTCAAAAAATAGTCTCCGGGGCCAGTCACGGTGGCTCACACCTATACTCCCAGCACTTTGGGAGGCCAAGGCAGGTGGATCACCTGAGGTCAGGAGTTCAAGACCAGCCTAGCCAACATGGTGAAACTCTGCCTCTACTAAAAATACAAAAATTAGCCAGGCGTGGTGGCATGCACCTGTAATCCCAGCTACTCGGGAGGTTGAGGCAGGAGAATCACTTGAACCCGGGAGGCGAGGCTGCAGTGAGCCAAGATTGTGTCATTGCACTACAGCCTGGGCAACAGAGCAAGACTCTGTCAAAAAAAAAAAAAAAAGAAGAAGAAAAAAAGAAAGAGAGAAAGGGAGGGAAGGAGGGAAGGAGTGAAGGAAGGAAGGAAGGAAGGAAGGAAGGAAGGAAGGAAGGGTATCCAACTCCATCAAAGTTGCTGCAAATGCCATTATTTCATTCCTTTTTTATGACAATATTTTTCTTTTTTCTTATACTTTAAGTTCTAGGGTACATGTGCACAACATGCAGGTTTGTTACATATATATGCATGTGCCATGTTGGTGTGCTGCACCCATTAATTCCTCATTTACATTAGGTATATCTCCTAATGCTATCCCTCCCCCCTCCCCCCACCCCACGACAGGCCCCGTGTGTGATGTTCCCCTTCCTGTGTCCAAGTGTTCTCATTGTTCAGTTCCCACCTATGAGTAAGAACATATGCTGTTTGGTTTTCTGTTCTTGCGATAGTTTGCTGAGAATGATGGTTTCCAGCTTCATCCATGTCCCTACAAAGGACATGAACTCATCCCTTTTTATGGCTTCATAGTATTCCATGGTGTATATGTGCCACATTTTCTTAATCCAGTCTGTCATTGATGGCCATTCGGGTTGGTTCCAAGTCTTTGCTATTGTGAATAGTGCCACAGTAAACATACGTGTGCATGTGTCTTTAGAGCAGCATGATTTATAATCCTTTGGGTATATACCCTGTAATGGGATGGCTAGGTCAAATGGTATTTCTAGTTCTAGATCCTTGAGGAATCACCACACTGTCTTCCACAATGGTTGAACTAGTTTACAGTCCCACCAACAGTGGAAAAGTGTTCCTATTTCTCCACATCCTCTCCAGCACCTGTTTTTTCTTGACTTTTTAATGACTGTATGGCAAAATTTTTGGACAGAAACACTGTTACTTGGATTGTCAGGTGACTAAAGAACATTCTGTCAACAACAAAAAGTAATTCATGATTAACATCAACCATAATAACATATTGTAACAAATTTCTCACAAACTGATAGCAAAAAAATACATTTATTATATTCAACAAATTCTATTCTTTGTGAAATCTGGGCAATTCAGTAGTCATTCAAAAGCCAAAGTAGGAGAAAACTCAGATAGTTCATCTAATTAAGTTTAAAAAGCATGTTCTCTAATTCTCTGCTAAAATGTCCCCGTTTCTCTTCCTTTGGCCAGTACAGCCAGATTAGGCAAGGGTGGGTTTGGTCTACCATCAGTCCTGAATACAAAAAGGGGAGACAAAGCATGAAATATTTACAACTGGGAAATATCTGCATTAGTGCAAATTGAGGGGCTTAGTACAGTCATAGACTTAGGATAAGAAGTCCTCTCTTACCATCTCACACCAGTTAGAATGGCAATCATTAAAAAGTCAGGAAACAACAGGTGCTGGAGAGGATATGGAGAAATAGGAACACTTTTACACTGTTGGTGGGATTGTAAACTAGTTCAACCATTATGGAAAACAGTATGGCGATTCCTCAAGGATCTAGAACTAGAAGTACCATATGACCCAGCCATCCCATTACTGGGTATATACCCAAAGGATTATAAATCATGCTGCTATAAAGACACATGCACACGTATGTTTATTGCGGCACTATTCACAATAGCAAAGACCTGTAATCAACCCAAATGTCCATCAGTGACAGACTGGATTAAGAAAATGTGGCACATATACACCATGGAATACTATGCAGCCATAAAAAAGGATGAGTTTGTGTCCTTTGTAGGGACATGGATGCAGCTGCAAACCATCATTCTCAGCAAACTATCGCAAGAACAGAAAACCAAACATCGCATGTTCTCACTCATAGGTGGGAACTGAACAATGAGATCACTTGGACTCGGGAAGGGGAACATCACACACTGGGGCCTATCATGGGGAGGGGGGAGGGGGGAGGGATTGCATTGGGAGTTATACCTGATGTAAATGACGAAGTGATGGGTGCTGATGAGTTGATGGGTGCAGCACGCCAACATGGCACAAGTATACATATGTAACAAACCTGCACGTTATGCACATGTACCCTAGAACTTAAAGTATAATAAAAAAAAAAATTTTGAACTGGGAAAAAAAAAAAAGAACTCTCAAATTTTCTCAAAACTATTCTTTCTTACCTACGACAAAGTCCACCACTTAATCATGATGTATAGCAATCTGAAGAGGTAAAGCCTAGCTATGCTGTCTAAAATAATAGCTACTAACCACATGTGGCTATAAAAGTTTAAATTAAAATTAAATTAAATTTAGAATTGTTACCCAGATACACTATCCACATTTCAAGTATTCAGTAGCCACATGTCATTAGTGACCACAGTCTCGGGCAGCACAGAAGTTCATTTCCAACATCTCAGAACATTCTACAGACAGAAATGCAGAGCCTTCCTAGAAAGTTCTTCTCTTTACTTGGAAGAGAGAAAGTGAGTCTTGAACAAATCCTGTTGGATGTAAAAAATATATTTGTTTCTGTGTAATTGTTGCCAGCCCTCAGGATACATCCCCACCCTGGAAACTACTGTGTTACTGTCAGTTATTCCCTTCTCTTTGTCTTTCATTTCAAATTTATCTGCTTGGACTGCCCAGTCCCACTTCTTTGAGTTTTACATCTCAAAAATTTTACCACTATCCTTGAGCCAGGCTCAGACCTGCCTCCCAGATTTACCTACACTTTCTATCAGATCAGCCTGCTTCTTGTTATATTTTCTCATCACAACAATACATTTTTACATTTTGAAAGGTTCTTCCTATGGAACTCAGTACACACCCATCCAGAGAAAAAGGTAGAAAGCAGACTTTTCTTTAGAGAAATAGAAGTAAGCCATTTCAGATCAAGTATTCTTCAGAGTTCTCTCCTCTTCATCAACTGTATCTACCCCAAATATCAAGTGAATACTTAGCCATAATATCTCAACCTAATGAGAAATAAATTGATGATTACATGAAAGTCAAACTTTTCCCTTAAGTTTCTTCACCTTGATATAAAGAAATAGAACTAAATTTCAGATTGTGTTCTTCTGGGCAAAGGTTTCTCTTATTCAAATATACCTTTTGAAGCCAGTCGAAAGGACTTGCTGATAAACATTTCAACACCACGCTTTATTACAACAAGTTATTTCTGTTGTTTACTATGTGGTTCGACCTTGATGAAAAGCAGATCTTCACCAGTGCATTTTTGTGCGAATTCCTTACCTTTCTGTTTACAAAAGAAAGTGAGGACCTTTCAGGGCTATTTGTCACCATGTCCTAGTAGCCAACAATGCACATTGTCAACTGCTTAAGGTTTCACTTCCTAATTAACTTTCCTAGAAGCATAAGAACGGTCTGAAAACACAAAGCTCTCCCATTAACCTTCCCTCATTCCACTCTACTCAGTCCTGGATGGATGATGAGTGTGTGGAACAATGAAGTCCTCCAGTGGGGTAGGAGTCATCCTGCACACAAAGAGAGTAATCTGAGAAAGCTTTCTGCAGAACAAATTAGTTATCTACTTCAGTTAGAACCTTTTTAAAGGATTACGACATTAAGACAGTCCTGCCCCAAACCCATGCATGAATGTTGAAGTTATTCTCAAACATATTTACTTCCTTCATTCCCAAAATGAGATTCATTTTCACTTAATCACTAACAATATTTCCCAGCCCTTAGCTGAGAGATTCCAGATCACACATGCACACAAAATTCCAACGTATTTAGTAATGGGGAACTTTAAATAGAGTCATTATTAAAATAAGTGGAATTTTATTTTAAATCTTTGATTAGGCATTTGTAATAAAATGCACTCCACTAAAGAATAACTACTTGAATGTCCTACAATTATTGTGCTGCTGTTCCTTTTAATTGAAGGAAATTATTTTGGCAAAATTTTTAGGTTATGTTTTTTAAAAATGTAATACTGCAATCATTTTACTTTGACATAGATGCAGGGATTGTTTTGCCCATTTTATAGGAAAAGGAAATAAGGAACAGAAAAGTAAAGTCACAAACCTCACATTGCACAATCTGTCAGCAAGGAAATCAAGAGCACACTGACTCGA